TTCATGTGGACAGTACTTTGAATTATGTTTACTATAATTTACAACTTGACACCTAAAGAACTATGCTACAATACTATTAACATTTATATTCATTTTTCCAGGCATATATATCTGAAAGAGGTTTCTTGGTGAATTTTTGTTTGAAACAATCTTTTTTCAACATAAATCATTTCAAGCTTTAAAGGGACTGAAAGTTTAATTTAACTTATGAGGAGAACTGAATTAATTTATATTTTTATGATTTTTGAAATGTAAAAGGTAATAACAAAATTGGTGTTTTTTTGGGTAGATGTGCATAAGTGTTTAGATTTCTGCAGAAGACTAAGTAGTACAAGATGTGTAAAGTAACTTAAACAGGGTTTTATTTTAATTGGTCAGTTTTTTATCCATTAAGAGAAAATAAATACAGTAACCATTATCAAACTATTGCATTCAAGTTCCTTGAAATTGTAAAATTTAACAGAGTTAAACATGCTCCATCAACATACTCAGTCCAGGGACAGAGAGGTGTCATCTGTAACATGTATCATGTAGACCTTAAGAAACATGTTCATATGCATGAAATTGTTTAAACTGATTAACATTGAAAATAAGGGAATAAAAGGTCATCTTTTTATTACTTATTGTCTCTCAGATAAGTTAATTCAATTGTAGTAGGTCTAAAACAATTTTATCCTGTTGATAGTTCCATTTAGATGACAAACAGTACATCCGTATGTTTTTAATAGATGTTAAACTGATATTTGAGCTACAATGTTGTTAAATGTATGATTTTTTAAAACTCCTGAAGTGATGCTAATTTAAATACTTAATATTTCCAATAAGTTCCAATTTAAATGTTTCTTCAATCAAAGACAGCACTTTATATTCATTTAGAAATAGTTACACATAATTTACTCATCTTGACCATGTCCTACAGATACTTTAACCATATTATTATAGTTATTTCTTTAAATATAAATATATGCAGAAGTTGAAATGTATTTCGAATTCAGATTTTAGAGATTAAACAGATTTTGAGGATGTTATTAAGTTCTACCAAATTTATAAGAGGTAGTGTGGATTAAATACTTTATCATACATGTATTTTGTCTGAGCAAGATACCCAGTATTATAGGAAAAAGCAAAACAAAATACATGTGGAAGATTAGGAATAAAAAGTTAAGATTTTATTTAACAAAATAGCAGAATTATAGACATGGACCAACTTGTTTACATGGTAATATACTACTACTAGGTTCTGAATGAGATACTTTAGTGAAAATAAATTCTTCTTCCTTACCTCACAACTTACATTTCTTATTATTCCACCTTACCTACTCTCACATATAGTTTTCCTGATTCAGTGCTGCCTTCTATTACTTAACATTTTTGCTCACCACTACCCTTGCCATTCCCATCTAAAATCACATGTTTCCTTGTGATATTGCTGCATTCTTGCATACAAATGAGTCTGTGGCAACCCTATACCAATAGGAGTGCAACACACCCTTCTTGTGCAGCTGACTCTATCTATACTGCTTTTTCAATCATTACTTCAAGATTAGGCATAAAAAGATGCAACAGAAGCGGGGATGACAGGTAGGAAGAGTGAGAGGGGAGAATATCTATCAGAAATACATTTTCAGTGTTGGAAAATGATAACTTTTGATATGATATGTAACCCCTTCTCACACGTGAAAGTGGTGGAGAGACATGCAAAATTTACCTTCAGGAAATTTTCGAGAATGAACCCATGGATTGCAACACCCCATACCATGGAACAGTATAGGGACACTGCACCTCATCTGTACTAGGGTACACTCTTTGCTCATAAAGAAAAAAAAGGGATATGCTGCTAAGACAAGCAGAAAATACAAGCACTGTCCAGAACCTGCATGAGGCTCACAGAAGTGCTATTTGTATAGCCAGGGTATGTCACACTACATTTGGTGGGTCAACTACAGTCCAAAACGAGGTGGCATTGGGAATTGACCAGATGGTTAAGGTGCTCAACTTGCAATCTGAGGGTTGCGGGTTCAAATCCCCGTCCCACCAAACATGCCCATCCTTTCAGCCATGGGTGCATTATAATGTGATGGTCAGTCCCACTGTTCATTGGTAAAAGAGTATCCCATGAGTTGGCAGTGGATGGTGATGACTAGTTGCCTTCCCTCTAGTCTTTCACTGCTAAATTAGGGATGGCTAGCACAGATAGCCCTTGTGTAGCTTTGAGAAAACTTCAAAAACAAACAAACAATCATTGGGAATTTGTCTTCTTGTCTGAGGTAGGAGGATGGTTCCTCCCTTCTTCGTGTCAAGCCCAGTGAAGCAGAATTGGAAAGTAACATCCATCCATGCAAACTGAGTGAGGGTTTATGTTGGATGGTCATGCATCAATCCAACACTAGACTACCTGGGAACCAAACATAGAGGCAGTAGTGGGATGGGTGAACTATAGTACACTAACAGAACATCATTGCCTTACTCTCTAATGAATGGAATTGGTCACTCAGGAGGAATCCTCCATGATCCCTCCCCCCTAGTGGCTATGAGGTGGTGAATAGCAAGGACTCCCTTGCTCCACTATAAGAAACAAGGAGGGATTGTGTTAGGGAGCCCAAAGTGGTGCACTATCATAAGACAGTGCAACAGGTGACCACAGAAATCGTGTTTTTAAAAGCAGACTATGCATGGAGGATGGGCAAGAATCCCCTGTCTGCTTTATTCATGATGTCCATGAATGATTATGATCTGTATCTGGCCTTGTTTAAATTAAAAGAATGATTTCCACAATGATACCTCTAGCAGTCTTTCGGAAAACCCCATCTTACAATTGAGTGCTATATCAGGGCTTAATGGCCCTACACTGTGAAGATGTGCCACTGAGTGGGACCCAATGAGGTATAAGAGGGCACTGGAAAGGGAACAGGAAAATAATTTGCCCAGTAAGAGCTTGTAAGAGGTGAGTAGTTCCATGCTTTTCCTTTTGGCCCCCTACATTTTTTGCCGAGTAGTGTTTGTTTTGCTCATCACATAGTCACGACTTGGGATAATGATTCCACCATTATATGGATGACTATTTTCTTTTAGCCTCATCCCAACAGGCCTCATACATGCATACTTTGTTCCTTCGGGAGATGGCATGTCTTAGTTGGTTAGTAAAGCTGGAGAAGTCTTATCTCATACCCACTCCATATATGGTTTCTTTGGGTATGTTCTTCAACTCTCATTTGAGCAAGGCCAAACTTTCTTGAGTTCCTTTTAGGGACATGGAGCAATTGGTATCCACTACTCTGTTCTCTCCTTCTTTTCCTGTGTAGGAGGTTCTCTCTCTTTAGGAGACTTTGGCTTCCATGAAAGCCCTTATTCCTTTGGGTCATGCTCACATGTGCTGTTTACAGTGAACTCTGCATGGTCAATGGAACCTCTCAGGATTTCTGTCCTTCCTCATCATTTTCGACTGCACACAA